ACTGAGGCCAAGTTTATCAATTGGAAGTGTGTCTAGATATTTTTGTTGGTCTACAGTGAATGTGTGCCACTAAAGCCCAAGTTACTGTAGCAACTAGACTGCTTGGCTGAAGTGAGACGTCTAACCATAGCACCTTCAAGTTCCCTAACACTGCTCAGATAGAATGCTTGTAGACTACAGTGTCAAGCATTACTGGCTACCTTGTCCACCCAGAATTCATACCTACATTTTAATTCTGCGTATAAAACCTCCTTGATGGAGTACACCCTGCCTGTCTTCTGTTCTCATTGCTTCTTGTCCTGTGGTTTCATGGGAGTTGCTTTCCCTGAAGTAGAAATATTTGGTACTGGGTAGTGGTGTAGAGGTAGAGCTAGGAATACTCCTTCCTCCTTTCCCTCAGAAAAAAAAAATCAGTAATTATGCACCAGAGTCATGGCTACTAATATTCTTTCTAGAACTGACCTTGATTTCTGTGGTGGGAGCATATTCTGGTCACCTCCTATTAGTCCACTTGGTAAGGAAGGCTCTCCCCACTGCTCCCCAAATAGGTTGAGGTGGCTGAAAACATACTTCTGAACTGGGCATAAGTGAATTACAGTAGTTTACTGGCCATAGATACTCACATCAAGGGAGAAGAGGGTACAGCTTGCCATGCAGGATCACATGGGGGTGGTGCCCAGCAATAGTGTGAACCAGCAGGGTGCACAGGGTGCAGGTTTTGCAGTAACCAAGGGATGTGGTGAGCCCTGATTCCTGCAGGAGGACGTGATTGGTTTGTTTGAATAATCTTGAGGGCTGGCAGGGAGGTGAAATCTGTCAGCTTGTGGCCTAGGTAAACTGCAGCTGATCTGGCTAAGAGGGGAACTAATCATGTGGGAACTTTCCTTCCGGGTGGGAGCATATGAAAGGAGAACTGGGAAACACACAGTTAGGCCTCTGGGGCTCTGTGAGGCTGAGACACTCAAAGCAGAACATGAAATTTATGGCCTTAGATATAGGGCTTACAATAGGAGTAGAATACAACGTATTTCCCTTTCATATTAGCAAGGTCATGTTTTTTCAGTAACATAGCATGTGTGGGCCTCCATGTATGTATGTTTCTCTATCCAGTTTTAACAACTGTAAGTGTAATGTAAATTTCTTCAAAGCCCACACAGTTGGTTGAATGTGAGTCCCAGGATTTGTATTGTATTGTACTGGGTGTTTAAGAAAGAACTTGGGTAAAGCTATTTCAAAGACTGCCACCCGGACATTTTTAACTGTGGAGCTAGGAAAAGTCATAACAATGGCAATTACAGTACCTTTTTTGTAAGGGCGGGAAGATGAGGGCTCTGTTGTGTAATACCTCGCTTTACCTTTCTGTGAGTCAGTCTATGAAATAAAAGAACTGGTCTAGAGAATTCTATGGTCTGTTTATTACTAAAATGGCCATATAAGTTAAAATAAATAGAAACATTTTAGTTTTATGTAGTCTAATGCTCCAGAGTATTAGTATCATGTCCCTTTCTAATTAATTTCTTCTCTTAAGCAACTTGGAATGTCCACTTCCTGGCGCATGGAAATTTCTAAAAAGTGATTTTCAATGAACACATAGATAAAGCTGAGTAAGTGCTACTTGGGGGAATTCTGAACAATGCCAAGTATTTCACCCAATGCCAAGTATTTCACCAGTGCTCTGCTACCTCAACAGTCTAACACTCATTACAAACTAGCAGTTTACATTATTAACACGGAACTAGGGATTGCAGTGAGCATTGATGAATGAGCCACCAGACTCTTATGTGGGCCCTTCTTTCTCATGCTGCCCCTTTCCTGTCCTCAAGAGCAGTGTTCTAGAAAGTTGAGTTAGTCTCATTCAAGACCTGAAGTCTTTGTCTCCTTTTGCAAGGATGCTCCTGGTTTCAATCAGCTACTAGAAATGTCAGATGAAAAATGGCACAAATGTGAATTACGACAATAAAAGTTTATAAGCTACTAAAATAAAGTTATAGTACCTAAGAGCTGAGTCAACTGACAATGTTAAATGGAACATTTTACAACCAGTCCTGAGATAATGATAAAAAAAAAAAAAAAGGCACACAGAACATGAAGAAAGATCCGACAGAAAGTGAGCCCAAGATCGGTCTCTGATTATCTGATTTTCGTGTGAGCTACCTCTAAAAGGGACGGGGTAGGGGGGTGATAATCTAAGTTTATGGAGTGCATCCGCTGGGTCCAGCCCTTGGCAACCATCATCTCTTCTACTTCTCATAGCAACTCATCAAAGAAGGTATTGGTGTCATCATTTTAGGAGAAACTGAGGCTCAAATGGTCCACTTACTTGCTCAGTAACAAAACTGCCCAATAATAGAAGCAAGCTTTGACTTCAAAATCTCTCTGCCTGAGACCCCATATTCCTCATCACATAGATAATATCCGTATAGGTAAAGCCAAGCTCTAAGAATCTCTGTCCATCTTGCTGTTAGTGTTTGTCCCATGCAATTAATTCAAACAATGGTTCTCTTTACTGTGGAGTTCGCCATGTAAGTTAGCTCTGTAGACAGTGTCAGGTTATAGCTAAATAAGTAAAGAATATGGAACCAGAGTGAAGACCAGCACTGCCAAGACAGCCGAACACTAAAAATGATATCAAACAAGGAATACAAGAGCATTATCAGGAATTTGAATAGGTGATATGGCAGTCTTCCATTTTATTTCCTAAATAACTCCTCTCAAAAAGTGTTTTGTGTATATCTTTAAATTTCTACCACCTTTCTCTAACCTTGCTAGCTTTATATCCTTCTGTCCTGTCACCCCACATTTCATATACCAAGTCACAGTGCTTCTCATTTGTGCCTGCCATGGTGTCCCCCCCAATGACAGACACAAGAGTGTTGGCATGCCAGTGGATCTGGTATTGTCTCCTGAAAGGCTGGTATCTGCTGTAATTGCACAATCTCTTAGAAATATTATGTTTTACCTTTAAAGATCTTACAAAATTTATATTCTTCTCCCTCATCTGACTTTGTTATATTATAAAGATAGTCTTTTCAATTACTTATTATGGACCAAAATTCATGCTCCAAGAAGAATTAATGTCATGTTAATTCTGAAGCTTCACATACTCTGTGCAAACTCCTCTTACTCTAGCCAGAGAAACACGGTGATAAAATGGTATAATCACATGACATGCAAAGTGCTGATGTGAAATGAAAAGGACGGAAATATGATTGGGATATTAATTCAAGAGAAAAAGAAAATAGGACTATTTGAATAGGCTTAGCAGGATAGTTTAGTTCTTCCTGAAAGTAAGTGGAATGTTATCTCACCTTATCTTGACCTCTACTCCAACTCTCCCCATTTAAGTGCAACCAAATATTTGGTTCCAAATATTTGTGCATGCGTGCACGCACACAGGCACACACACAAGAGCCACCCAATATCCAATACACAGGTATATAGGGAAATACTCAAACTGCTCATTTAAACACCAGATGAAGGCATCATGTCAACACAGCAATAAAACCATAAATTTCCTTTGTAATGGCACCAAATTAATAAAATGGGGAAGTAGAACTTGCATAATAGCTCTAAACTCAGTACCAACTTTTATTTATGGGTCCAAGACTATAATGGACACAAGCTAATTTTCATGGTTGATCCACAATAATGGTCATTGGGAAGTTAAATGACAGAAGAGAAACAGCTTTAAATGGGAAATGGCACAATTAATCACAGCTGTCGTGCTTATGCACTTGCTGGCTATCAACCTTGAACAGAGCATTTAACTCAAATCCCACTCAAACGCTTGCACTGTCAAGGGAAAGACCAAGAAACAATGGCCTCTCAGTTGCTACGGCGCAAGTGGCAATCCACAACCCATTTGCCAAAGATGGCACTGAAGGTCCAACCTTTTAGGCACAGACTGTTTGTTGTGGTCCCGGACTCCCCTTCCTCACCCATTGTAGGAGCTTCTCCTTTAAAAAGACAACAAAAATGCCAAAATGTTGGCATTTCAATGTTCAAGGTTGACCTGTTTCTGCTCTCCTAATGCATATTTTTTTGAAAATATTCCACCCATTCAGAACTATAATTGAATTAAGTTCTCTCAGTAAGGATAAAGTTTGTACTTACACATTCTATAATATTATATATCTGTAGTATAGTTGTTAATACTAGATGTCATTGCTATTTCTGAAGTATTGCTTTAAATTGAGTGTTGCATATGTAATATGTATAATATATTGAATAGTAATGTATCAGAAACCACTGAAGATATGTTGAGTGTGTATATAGGTACATGTAGATATAGAAAATGGGAAGAAAATTATAGCAATGATTTAAATCAATATTCAATATTTAAGAGCAAACTAAAGCAATTGCCTTGAATCCTGAATAAGTTTGTATATACTCAACTTGACCTCATAAGCAAGAGGGGATACTTTATTGGGGGGTATTAAATTGAAGAAATTATTCATTGAGTCAAAAGAAAATCTCCATGTCAATCAGCAATTGAAGTAATTTGACATAGGTACATTGTATTATAAAATAATCCGGGATTTATCTAAGTTGTTAAAATAATGTGACACCTATCATCTACCTGCATTATCTCACTTGTCTAACAATTAGCAAATGCAACAGACTCTCTAATCATGAAAAATTTTTTCATTCATTCAATACATATTTACTAAACAATTGACATGTGCCAGACACTGCTCTAGATACTGAAAATATAAGGATAAATAAGACAAACATGCTTCCTACAAATTAATAGCATAATCAGGATTACCTTCCAAACCCAGGGTTTTGTTTTTCACCTCAAAATATTTGGGGTGCTTTGCTTATCATTTTACTGTTAATTACAGAATTAAATGAATGTTGACAATAAAGGCTTAGATGAGCTTTTTTTGCTTTGTAGATATTATTGAAGCGAATAAAGCTCTATGAATTGTGGAATGATAAAATATTCACAGAAACGTACAACTCTGCAGTTGAATAACAATTACATTTGTTCCAAACAGGCAATTGGTTTCCAAACACATTAAACAAAGGCAATTTAGAAAGCTTCTTCTTCTTGCTGGCATCATTAACATTGTTGAACGTCCTGGGATTCTGGAGTGTTTCGCAAAGGTAAGTAAGTGTGTGGTAAGATGAACAATTTCTGAGTCCATGAAATATTAGTCCAGGAACCATCAGTGAGCCAATGGGAGTCCAGTAGGCCATGAATGGACATATCAGCACATTATAGAAATTTAACAGATTGTTCAGAGCAAGAAATTTCACTTTAGACTCCACTTTCCCACCGATCCTCCTAATAAAATAGTGCTTTACTCAATTCTAAAAAACATTATAAAATAAGACTTTGATCTTCATTACATAGTAACACTTTAAAATTAGAAATAATCATATTGATAATAAGAATGAATAAATCATTACCATTAAAAGCAAATTTTATTAAACAAATAGCTAGGAATCTAATGATGCTTGAGATTTGGATCCCATTCAGGCCTTTAAATCAGCAGTGACCATTTCAAGGTCAATTGAAAATGGTGCAAAAATCTCTTAGCCAGTCACCTGAGACCATTCAGTGACTGCATATGTATCATCTACCATCCAGTCATTGTCTTTCCATATCCCACATATTCTTGGATGACTGTGTACTCTCTAACCTCTCTGGGTGTCTGTTTTCACACATGTAAAACAGAAACAATAATATCAATCGCTTCCAGGTTTTAGGGAAATGAATTTTGTAAACGGGTTAAGCGCAATGTCTGCCATATAGCAGGAACTAAGCACTTTCCTTACTTTCCTCCATTTATCTATTGAGTCATAAATGATCTCACTTGTCATCACTTCTCCCTTGCCTAAATCCTTCATTTCTAAATCTCTTTTGGAACATTAGCTTCATGGAGGTAGTATAGTCAACTGAGTGATGAAAAGCCAGTAAGGAAATGAATGCTCACAGAATGACGTCCATGCTCCTGCTCTCATGGAGCTCATGGTCCAGGGTGAGAGGTACTTAAACCCCATGCAAGGTGGAATGGGCAACAAAACTAAAAGCCTAAGGCTCCCCAGATTTCTGCATTTCTTACCCTCCAAAGTCTATGAGTTCTCAAATTGTTCTTCTAGACTACGTAATTTCCTTAAGTGCCAGTCTCATTTTTAGATTGAAAATGAAATCAGAGAATCTGAGGGTTACAGAAAGATCTGACAGGAATTTCCTCAGCTTTGCAGCAAACCAGATTCAGTAATGGAGACTGAAATTGAAGGCAAAGTCTCTTTCCTCTTCATCCACCGTCTCCAAACTCATTAGGAATGTCTATCTGTCAACTCACACAAATCTGCACTGTCTCTCAAATTCTCATTCTTTATCCTTCTGTACGATTTGACCTTGTCTTCCATGAAGTGGTTTAGAAGGTGGTTTCCAGAGTTAGCTTAGTTAGATCCACTTCCACAACTTATCAGCTGTATGAACTTCAGGAACTGTTTAACCTCTCTAAGCCTGGGCTTCTTTGTTTGTAAAATAGAAACAGAAAGAATAGTAATTGTAAATGTTAGTAATGATAATAATAGCCTCAGATTTAGCCTTGTACTCCCCTCTTCCTCCCTTTTATTCTTCTCCTAGACTTATACTGAGGTGTGAGCAAGAGGACCATGATTTTGGACTCAGTTCAGATAGAACTTGCACTGGAATCAGAATCTATTAGCCCAGGGATTTACTCATTCATTCATGCATTCAACCAAAATGATAATCATTGTTCCATGTATCAGAGAAATAGAGTTAAACCAAGCAAAGTACCAGCCTACATGAAGCTAACATGAGTGCTCAAATTAAAATATTCAAGTGTGATGATTGTTCAACAAATGAATTCCTGGAAGGAATTGAGAGATAGAGAAGGAGATAAGAATAAGAATATACCAGGCACTGGAGATTGGAGGAACCAAAGTTAAAGTACTAAGTAATAATGTAGAGTTTATTCAAAAATGAATCTAATTCTTTCAAGATCGCCTCCATCTCCATCTACTTTCTTTTCTCCTACATATTTTTATGGAAGAGACGGGGTGGGGTGGGGTTAAAAGAGAGAAGGAAAAAAAAGAAGAGGAGGAGGAGAGGAGAGGAGGAGGAGGAGGAGGGGAGAAAGTAGAAAACAAAGAATGAAGGACAATTAATTTCCCATGTGTCAAGCATATGGTGTCTTAGCATGCTATCTACATACAAACAACTTCATTTAATTTCCAACACCTCCCTGTCACATAGATCTTACCACTGTGTAAATATGAAAACTAAAATTCAAAGACAAGTAATCAAATTTACCACATTCTCATACCTGGGACTCAAACACAAATTTGGTTGTCTCCAAAGCCCATTCTTCTTTACTCCTAAGGGTATAGGAACTCAGCTTCTAAGTACCAGACAAGAGTGACAACTCCTAACTCTTGTCTGTTAGGGGAAAACTAGTCCCTTTAATTAAAGTAACTACACTCATTACCACTTGTTGATCAGCAGCCCCACAGGAAAAGAATGGATGTTGCACAAGAAGAAAGAAGAATGCAGAAAATTTGCCTCCAAAGAGTAATAGGTAGAACCAACTATGTCAGTGTGAAAGCATGCACTTCCCTGGGGACCTATTGGCCATTGTGATTGGACACACCAAGTCAGCAGTTAGCAAAGAGCCCTATGGAATGGAAGGGGCTGAGATGAGTGTCCACAGTGAGGAGGGCATGGTTCCAACTTATTTCTATACTATTATTGTCAAGCACTAATGAATCAGAGGATGCAAAGAATGAGGAGATTCACCACGTCCCAGGGACAGTATTAGTGAAACATGTTGTTTATAAGTCAGGATTGATCTCAGGACACTTCCTATCACAATCCAATTTTTATCAGATCCAAAGATTTACCTGTTCAGAGCCAGGTAATTGTGGCAAATCTATCAAAAACAGAGCAGTCCTACTGAAGTTAGTGGATTCATTACGAAACAACATCCTTACAAATATGCAGGTGACCTTAGGTCTGTATTAGTACCAAAAGGTGCTCCTCCCACAAATATCCATGGGATACAAACCTAGTGTTAATCCTAAAACCCAAGTAAGTTTGTCAGGGTCTCTGGGACATCACCTCAAATCCTCAGCAGAATACAGTTAGAAATTATCCATGAATGTCAAGCCAGAATTACCTCTTACATGAACCAAAACCAAAGACAAAGAGAAAACAGCCTCTGGCCTCCTGCTCTCTATATTAGAGTTCTCTTCAACCACATCTGACACAGTGCAGTGGTGACATGTCATACTTGAAGCTAGCCTGTTTGGGGGGGAAGGAATGAAGCAGATGAAATGTCTTTTCCCTGCTGAAAAGTAATATTAGGTAAATATACTTAACGTGCTTAATGTAAAAATGTATCCCATATTGGATGCTAAAATAAAAATAAAGGTGTTTGAGGGCAAGGGGCAAGAGAGCATTGATTTTTATAACAACGACACTGTTCCTCCAGTGTTGTAGAATACATCTAAAGGTGCTATTGCTGCACTTATTTTGTCAATGATAACAAGTAATTATCTGTGCATAACCTGTAACAATTATTGAAAGCAACATAAATCAGAGAGAAATAATCAGAGTTATTCAGGTGGTATTCGTTCTCCTGAAGTTATTTTTAGCAGTATATTGAGAAGGAAAAAAAGGTACAATTAGTTTTTGAAATCTTCTCGTATCAAAAATCGATCTTCTGTTTGGTTTTGGTCTTGGTAATCCTATGTATATTTGATAAAATTGAACTTCTAGATCATATTTCTTTGTTTCTTGGATAACTATTTATTGAACATCAGCAGCATATTAAGTAAGTCCTGGTCTAGGCACTAGGAATATAGTGGGCAATATTAGATAATTTTAGGACCAGCATGCCATAGAAAAAGTCGAGGATTTAAAATAATCAAGTACTGGTTTTAAAGCCAGGCTCTGCCTACTACTATTTATATAAACCCTAAAAAAAAATCTATTTAGCCCTAAAAACTTCAGTTTTCCAATCTGTGGTGTGGGGATGATTCCATACCTCCCTGGCATGGTGTCTGCTATTTACAAGACACTCAGGAAAGGCAAGGAGTTGAGGGTGGAAGAATGAACATTTCTAGAAATATAGTCATGGATCCCTTCTTTGACAATGGTCTAAAATAGTCAAATAGTCTCAACACCATATTTACAAGTCCTCAGTGCATCTCATATGTCTTTATGGGTGCAGGCAACTTTTTCCCTTGCTGCAAAATGTTAAATGTCAAATCCAGAAGGTCAACAGGGTTCCACAGTCTCACTGGTAGCACTGAAGGGGCTCAGTGCAGATTATAAGACAGCACCACCTAAAGGTCCTTATGAGAGCCTTAACGTGTACGAAAACTCCTCCTGCCATTTTATAAAAAGACTGTTCTGGTGAACAGCACTCTTAAATAATCATCCCTTTGTGCCAGTATCTACGAACCCATCATAAAAGGTAGACAAGCACAGGAGGAAAGCAAATGATTTATCAAGTAATCTACATCTGGTCCTAAGAAAAGCTTTCTTTCTTTCTTTTTTAGATATTGTAATCTAAATCATTTTAATGCCCAGAACATCAGTGGAAGTAATCTTGAAGAAACACTTCTCCTCCATGAAAAGTCTCTGAAATTTTATGGCAGCACACAGGAAATTTCTTCAAGTATTGATCTTTGGGAGACAGCCCTATGAAACTGTATTTGACTCTACCTGTCTTATGAACACAGTATTTGTTGTTTTTTTCTTCAGTTGAACATTTGTATGCATTTTAGTATGAGAGATAATATGTAGGAGAACAAATCTATGAATATTACCTGTGTACTTTATTTAAAAAACAATTATGATCCTTCTAGAAGTTAACCAGTATGCTCGTGCATTAACATGCTATGCATTAATATTAATAAAGTAATTTCAAAGTATAGATAATTCCTCTCATCAGAAAATGACAATTTCCTATATGCCAATAATATTTTATAGCTTTTTACGATGGTTCAGCCATTCAAAGCAACCCGTAAGATATTTTTAGAGTTTTAACAAGTCATTAGAAGCAAAATAATAGTATGATAATATTCTTTCTTTCAGTACATTTTTTTAGGCCTTTATTGCTGTTCGGGTGTTATGACCTTATACTATATAAGACTGAGTAAAATTTATGTGTTTTTCTGCTATATTGGATGTTGATATAACACTTTCAAGATAAAACTTAAGGAAATTTTCTCTGAATTCAAAATCAATGTTACTAAAATGAGGTCTTTAACAAAGAGAGACTATCTACACACTGAAGAAGTTGAAAGATCAATATAGATGATAGAATTATTAGGATTAAAGAAAAGAGAATTTATGGAAGGTCAAACGGGTGCTAGGAGGAGGGTAAAAGACCAAACCACGTAGAGACACTTACAGGGATTCCCTGACCCAAATGACATCATTGGGTCTCCACTGCTACAAATCCAATGCATTTGGAAAAATCATCTTCCAAAAAGATTTCTTTTTTTTTATAATCAAAGAAATTTGGACACCCTTCTTTTAATCAAAATGGCTCTCCTCTTTGTCACAGTGTTTATCAAAGTTTGGTTGAAGGCTGCCTGCTTCAGGTAAATATTTCTTGGCCCTGGACAGACTGCTTTAACCCATGTCTTCTTCAGCTTGAGGTCCTGGAACTGGTGGGCAAAAACACTCAAATCATTCTTAGGCTCCCTAAAGTTTGAGAGGCACTGCTTTCCAGGATGGTTCATGCTGGATAGAGTAGGAGGGTCTGTCAGCTGATTGCAAATGATTCTGCAATTAAGCACCTCCCCTGTGTATACATAAAATATTTTAAATCTGTAGAATAAAAGATTTATTCAACTTGATTAGGTATGATATGCATTTTTAATTGCAAAAGAGCAGCTGTAAAGCACCAGGTGTTTCTCTTACTCAAATTATTTTTTTGTTGTTGTTTGCTTGTTTGTTTTGAGGACAAGCAAATAAACTCTTGCAGGCATAAATTCTTTCCTTGCTTTTAGAATCCTTCTTTGTTTAGCATTTGTTCCCTGGCAAAGCAATGAGGCAGACCCCTAATATGCCTTAGAAGCTTTCCTTACTGCAAAAGGTTAAAGGCCAAGTTTGCAATTTGGGTTTAATGAACACCCAAAAGATCAAGAAACCTCTGGACACCTCATCTCAGTACAAATGGGAAGCTCTAACAGTCTCACTCCCTCTTAGAAAAAGAATCTGCCTTATTTTGTTACCCCCTCCCCCACCCCAATTTGCCTTCATCACCTTAATTTCTTAATTTTTTTTTACAATAAAAAAAGTGCTCATTATGCTTTCGCTTGCCCTTTGAGATGAAAGATCTACAGAATTATAAAATTGACCCAAAGCAAACACCAAAAGAGCTTAGAATTCTCACATTGGGGTTGACACTTGTGATTAGCTAAATTGCGGTAACTACACATGCTTCCATTCGGAACAGGATGCATTCACACAGCAGTTTCTTCTCTAGTGCCTAGCAACATTATCATTGAGCACCTGGAATAGTTTAGGCATTAAGTGTAATTGGTTTTGCTTTACATAAATCTGTAGCTTTGTAAATAAGCGGAGCATTTCAGCTTCTATATAACACCAATTAACTTAAAGGGATGCGTTGTTTGCAGAAGCCTGCTGGGCTCCGTACTGTACTTCTCTGGTAATATGCTCAGTGGCGGCAAAGTTCTGTGTCCCTGCAGTGTTCCATTTACTCCAGCCACTTGGTGCCAAGGGTCTATACCAGCCACTCATTTGCTCCAGTTTTCAGTGGTGGTGAAAGATTGGAAAAATGCAGTCTTCTCTAAGAAGCTCCTTCTGTGCTCTATTTCTGTCCATGAGTGAGACCTGAAAGGCAAGATTTTTGAAAATGTTTTCTGTGACCCACAGAGCACAGGTCTGACCCCATTGGATCTTGTCCACAACTGACAGTGACATCTCTTTCCTCTTCCTTTTTTTTTTTTCTTGTAATACTTGGATGTAGCAAAAAATTACTGCATTGAGCCTGTGTATACAAAATGACGAAAAACATATTCTTATTACATGAATTTATCAGTGAAAATGTTTCTATCAGTGTGACTTTTTTCTTAAGAGCACAAAATAACACTCAGATTTGTTCCTGGAAGGTGGGAGATTTTTTTTTTTTTTCCCAAGCTCTTTGGATACTTCCCCCTTGTTATCTCTGTACTCGGCTTAATCCCTTATCTCTCATATCCCCTTCAGGTAATCTTGATTTATAGCATTCATTCCACCCTGGCCAACCTCTAATTCCCTTGGTTTCTGAGTGTTTTATCAACTCTCAGAGTAACAATAGCACCAAACAGTTCACGATTCCAATAAGTTTCCTATTAATAATATGTGATTTACAAATGGAAGGAGAGAGAACAACTTCTTCTGAAAACTGTCAGAATTCCTTGTTCTGTGAGAACAGAGCTTCTGCACTGGTCCCCTGGATCAATCCGGCAATGGTCATATACCATCTTTACTGCAAAAGAAGCCAGTGTACAATTACTGGTCACGGGCTTATGAGTAAAAGCTTCAAATAAAATCAGCTACCAAGTGATGACAGCACACAGGTGCTGCTAAATTCAGGTCTGCTTGTAGAGAGCAAGGAAATTAAAGGAATCACTAATAACAGCAGCTCATATCTATGTCACCCTTTACAGTTTACAAGTTGCTGTCACACACATATTATCACGTTTGATTAGCACCAGCACTCGGGGAGGCAGGCACATTTTAGCATGCCCATTTGGTAAATGAGAAATTGCAACTCTGAGACAGTAAGTGATTTATCAAGAGTTACAGAGAAAGCAGGTGACCCAGATAGGACCTGAACCTGGGTCTGCCTGACCCTCAAGGGCCAGCTCCTTCTACAAACAACATTCATAATGTCATCAGTACTGGATCATCTGCAATCACTTCAGAGCAACTGTCTCTACATCATCCTAAAGGGAACGAGAATGGGAGAAAAAGATTACATCAAAGTTAGAGACACTAATAAAATGGTTAATAAAAAAAAAAACAATCATCTGTCTAATGTCTCTTTTCCCCCACTCACCTTGCCCTTTGGAGCTAGGCACCATTCTCCTGTGAATGCACCTCATTGAAAACCCACTCCAAATGACCACATTCAGAAATGGGTCCCAACACAAAACTGTTCTTTCAGCTCTCCTTTCATCAAAATGACCTGGGCGTACTACAGTGGGTTCTAAAGTGCCTTGATAAAGAACGATTTGAATGAAATATATTTATTCCAAAGTATAATTAGTAGTTGTGAAAATTCTCATACTACTTACTAAGCCTGAGATGCAGTTCTACTTCTTGGGTATTTTAGCTCATTTAGCCATCACAATAACCCTGAGTTAAGTGTAATTACTAGCTCCACCTTATAGATAAGAAACCGAAGCACAGAGGTGTTAAAAACATTCCACAGGTTATGAAAGCTGGGTAGACAAAGCCAGAACACAAGGGCTCTGGCTGCAAAATCTGGGAGCTAGTTCCCTCCACCTAGCTGCCTCTCAGCATAACTCTTGTCTACAATAGTTTTTTTTAGATATTATATGCTCAGGGGAATTTTAAGGGAGACACCTTAGCACAATGGATTTCATTATTTATCTCTCAACACATAAGAATATGACTTACTCCATGAAAAATTACTGAATCAAAATGATGACTCTCAACACTCCCTGGGTGTGCCCTCTCTTCCCCTTTCATAAATAATGACTTGTCTCTTACTTATACACAAAGACACAACTCTATATAGCAGTGAGCAGGTACATTTACTTAAGAATTGTTAGATGGGTATTTTTCCATTGTCCCACAAATCTCAATGTAAACCATCTTGTTTCTTGCATAAAATAGCCATCGTTAGTCAAGATGGGAAGTGGAGGTCAACAAGGCTGTTTCCTTAGCACCTACACAGACACTCCCCAGGATCCTTTCAGCCCTGTTTTCCACCAAGTATAAAATGGTCTAGGACAATCAAGGATCCGGATGACAAGACTCCCCAGTCCCTCTCTCTGGCTGTGTGTCCCACTAAGGTCATCCATAGTAAAATATATGCTAATCAATACCTGGAATCATTTCCCCAGTTGATGCACTGTCATTAGCCCACTCAGAGACCTTACTAACTATTAAATAATAACAGCACCCAAACTCTAATCTATCATCCATCACAGACAGGTTGGAATCCATTTACTGGCTGAGAATCAGGTTGTTCTGAAGCCTGCCAACCCACAAGTGACCAAATCGCATGTAAATAGAGTAATGAGTCAATAGCCTACGACAAGTGTCTATTACCATGGTAGCAGCAAGTCGGGGACATATTTCATGACATTTATGCAAAGAGCAAGGCAACAATTTTATGATTCTATCAGGGGAAAAAAAAAGAAGGAGAAGAATGAAATCCATGGGAGGCAGGAATTTAGCAAAAATCAGGGGGAGGGTGTTTTATCATCTAAGATACCACCAAGAAAACATCAAGAACAGTTTTAATTTCCCCCAAGCAAATCTATCGAAGTAAAATGAGAAAGTGAGTGGAGAGGACATGCTGAATTTTAAAATAAGGGAAAGAGTTCTCTTTCAGAAATGCCAGAGGAGAAAGTGCACACATCAAATGTGAGTGTAGTCAGTGGCCATCTGGAAACACAGATTTCAACTGCCGTGCCATGCCTTGCACATAGTAGGTGCTTTGATTTGCAGGAGTTGATTATGACCCCCTTGTGTATAACAGACTGATTTTTTTTTCCCTTTCCCAAGCCTCTCTTAGAGTTATACTGTTCTGACCCATTTCCACGGTGTGTCCAGAGATGCAGACTTTTTTCCTTCATGCAGCTAGTGCAGTTCTGCCTTATTCCGTTGCAGCCAACCGTGGCTGAAAGACAGGAACAAACAAGATGGACAAGTGTGGCAGTGAATGAACCGGTTTACTGCAAT